ACCATGGTCAGGCGCGCGCGCAGTGTTGTAACGCAGCAGTCGGGCGGGTGTGCTTACCATGGTCAGGCGTGCGAGCAGTGTTGTAACGATGCACTATCATGGGCAGGCGTGCAGAAACGAAGCAGGCGAGCGGGTGCGGTTATCATGGTCAGGCGTGTACGCAGTGCCAGGGCGAAGCAGTGGTGCGGGCGTGCTATGCAGGCTTGCAGGAAAAAAGTGCACGCCGTTCAGCGCGGTTTCTGCTCCGCTAGCAAAAACAACCACACACACACACACACACGCGCACAAGTTACACAGAGATACACACATAGATGCGACTACCCACAAGCACAAACAAGCTCTTCACCAAGCTGCGTTGCAGCGGCTTGTATCCTTGCAGGCCGCGGCCAGTGAGGTAATGGATCTCTTCAAGAAAATCATCCATTGCTGAGCAACATGCGCGCTGCGCTTTTGCGCGGCGGTTGGGGCTCCGGGGGAGCACCTGCTTTTGCTCGTTGGATAAGACATCAGAATGTTCGACTGGGAAAACCATCGTGTTTGTGGAGAACAGTAGCTACACCAGTACCTGTCAGTTCTTCGGGTCCATTGCCTCCATGCAAGTCTGTGCAAAGCCTGAGCCGCAAAATCGAATTCCGCGCGCACCTTGTGCAAACCTGTGGCGAGCAATGGCAGTGCAATTGTACTCATGAAGATGTCTGTTCGAGAATGGAAAAAGTGAAATAATTGCGGCATTGGCTTACACAATGAAACACACCGCTAAGCATCCCTGGGAGGACAAAGCAGCAGAAGACCGCAGCTGGCAAAAGTGAAGATCCTAGCACCATCCATGCACTTCCGATGCGAACAACACAATATCTATGGGCTTTGGGACATGTGCTCTGTGATAATCTGCCAGCTTAATTGGGGAATTGTCCTGGGGCAACAAAATGCATCATGACACCAACCAATGAGAAAGTTCTTCTGACCCAACACGATATTTGGCTGTGCCTAAGATACACAATTGCCCTTTCGAAGGCTGAGCCCATCTATGATCCGCAGTAGGAACTCTTGGCAAATGGGCTACATTCATGTCATGCCTTCCATGTCCAACCCGCGTGGCAATGGCAACTTGCGGGGTGGTAGGGTTCTGTGAAAAAAGGCAGGAGGACAGAGAAAAAATGAGTTGTGAGGTTGGTTTGGCCTTTGCCAATACCTTGCGCGAGGGCCCGCATTGTTTTCGCCACGTATCTTCCCCCTTTTAGATGGTTTTAAAGGGTGTTTTTTTTGGGGGGGGGTCTGAAAAAGACACACCCAACCGACCGTGGCTTCCCATCTTTTTGGAACACCGGGGCCCCAGTCCCCCTGAAGCTTCGCCTGAAGCACCCGCTCGAAGACCTGGAGGTTCGCCTGCTGGAAGCTTGCGGGCCCAAAGGCGAAGTCCAGGCCGTCCAGGCGCTCCACAACCTGACGGCCCGGACTGGTGACCTGTGGAAATGTGAAATGCATTACACATAACAACATACATGCGTGTATATATATATATATGGTCCCGTGTTCCGTGTTGCTACCCCCCCCCCCCCCCCCCCCCCCCCCCCATATGGTATGGTCCCCCAGGACCCCCCCCGGCCCGAGACCCCGAGCCCCCGGATCCTGGCACCTACGGTCCCACCCCCACCCCGACCCCCTGAACTCGCACCCCGACACCCCGGCACCCCCACCCCCAGGACAAGCCAACCCGCAACCAACCATAAACCAACCCTAAACTAACCCTAAACCATCCCTAAATACACCCTAAACCAAACCCTAAACCGTAGACCTCTAAACCTAAACCAACCCTAAATCAACCCTAAACCAACCCTAAATACACCCTAAACCAAACCCTAAACCAAACCCTAAACCGTACACCTCTAAACCTAAACCAACCCTAAACCAACCCTAAATCAACATAAAGCAACCTAAATCAACCCTGAATCAACCCTAAACTAACCCTAAATACACCCTAAATATACCCTAAACCAATTCTAAACCAACCCCAAACCACCACAACCCAACCACAGGACCACAACCACAGGGGGGGGGGGTACTTGTCTGACCCATGACCATTGGGGGGGGAAGGGGGGAGGGCTGGCAACGCTGTACCATATATACACATACACATGGAGAAATATATGAATATATGCACTATATACTAATATGTATGTGTGTGCATATAGGCAATATAATATTATGTCTGCATACACTCTCTCAAGACACAGCAGTGGACCCTGCAAATCCCAGGTGGGTTGTGAGAAACACAAAAATGGAACGGACGTTCCTTGCCATACCTTTTGGACACCCAAAAGGAAGCCAAGCAAATGGGCAAGGAATGCGAACATGATAATCATATTGGCATGGATCTCTGCAAGATCTCTCAAGATCTACTCCGAGATCTTCTGAGCCAACAACATATCGCTTGTGCAGCGCGTGGCCAGGTCTGCATTCCGTGTCTGCCGAACCAGGAGAGCGGTTCTGGTTCATGGTTTCCTTCCAATGGACATCAGCAGTTGCCAAGAGTGAGCAGGTTTGACGGATCTACAAATATCGTGAAGCATCACGCCAGGCAGCAACTGCTCGAAAACATTAGTGTTTCGGCTAAAAGGGGTCACAGGGGTACCGCTAGTAAAATGAATTAAATTTATGCACCTGCTTCTGACAAACATCAAGCTTATTTACCTGAAAGGGTATGTATTGAAGACCCCAGCACACATGGCAACAGCAGGGGTATCTTAAAATGTCATCGGCTTCACCATTGTTTCCTTGTAAAATCAGTCAAGGAAAACTAGCTAATTTGGACGCATGGCCACATTTCACAACCATCTCCATGGGACATCATTCCAGGCTTAACTTTTGGTAGTTTGGATCAGAAGTTTGAACCACCTTCAGCCCTCCCCAGCAATACGAAAGCACCCCATTGCACATATGGATGTCTTCCAACAAACATAACGCTTCAGAGGCTTTGGGTTTCAATTGATTTTCAATAGCTAAGGGACCGAGAAACAGGACTGGACCAGTCCTGTTTTCAGGGGCGCCTGTAGCTACAAAAATTGGACCCAGGAGTCTTCAAGTTTGTTGAAAATGGAGGTACAACTTAAAGCTAAGAGTGCACGCACTTGCACGAAGTTTCTCGACGCCCATCCCCAAATCCATTCCGTGGGGAATGCAGCCAGCCCCTTTTGGAAACTGAGCGCGGCACATACCCGCTACCTTCTTTGGGTCTGACCTGGCAGGAGCACCCTCCAACCACATCCAGCCGCATATAACGTGCACCCGTGCATGTATGTGTATATATATATATATCAAACAATTAAGTAAGTATATACTCGAAACTCTGAATGTTCCCCGTCAGCTGGGGGGCTCTTCGGGGGTTGGGGGGCTGGGGCAGCAATTTTGTTCCCTGCAAGCACGGATTCCATCTCAGCTGAAACACTCACTCAGGCGCGTTGTGCACAAGGACAAGCCAAGTCAAGCAAGCGAATACGCTGCCATAATATGTAAAACATAAATGACGCAACAAACACACCGGCCATGCCTGATCTTATCTCCCGAATCCGAGTTGCAAGGATCAGCCCAACACCCCGCGCTTGAGTGTATCTTTTTCGCCTGTTGAAGTGGCACGACCCATGGAGGACGCATCAGCATGTCGCAGCCCGGCCTGCTCCCAGGCCTCGGGAGTTTTGGAGTGGATGGCCCGCAGGAGCCGCGGACTTGGCTCGCGCCAGTGCACCTCGGCTAAGAAATGCCTTTCGCCTTTCGAGCATTTCCACGGCGAGCTGGGGAGGCAAAAAAAAGAGTCTCCAGCCAAGTGGTTGGATTGGTTTGTAGTGGTTTGGATTGGTGGTTGGTGGTCGTTGGTTGGATCGTTCTCATTCCAAGTGGTAGTTTGAATCGGTGCTTGGTTGGCGGTGTCCCATGTACCCTCAAGAACCAGTGGGTCAAATCCCCAAACCAATGCGTACTCCAAACCACCAACTACGGATAATCTGAAAGAGGCCAATCAAACACTTTCCCGAAAAACAACTTCTGAAGTGCAGGGCATGGTTATGGCTTTAGTTGTCTCCATACCCAAACCCTGCAAATGTGCGCCATGGTCCAAGGACGTGCTTGCGTGGGGTCAAGGCCCAGCCCGAAGCGAGCACGCCTTTTGACCATGGGCACATCAATATCACCCATGCGGTGACGTGTTCAAACGCGCTGTGACATGGATACTCAGGAAATTGCATCCAAAAGGTTGGTTCCATATTGCTTCCCTCCGAAACCTCCAAAGTTCAACTTGAAAAATATATAAAAGGCGAACTCATCAGACCCCAGCTGTTGCCCCGCTTTTGGCTCAATGAAGGGCTAGGTTCCGACCCCATTGCAACAAGTACCCCTGCCTGGACACCTCCCAGGGAGAAAGTGTCACTTGATCAACCGCAGCCTCTTGCCCGAAAGTCAAGCAGCAGAAAACTTGGGAAAGCGCAGTAGAAAGTTTGCCCAATTTAGAAGATTCGAAAATCACCCATCGTTCAAAACCTGCTCTTCCCAAAGGCAATGTTGAGGATGCATAAACAACCCACACACACACACACACACACGCACATGGCGCTCAACCTCTGTCAGAGGTAACCCCATGTACTTGCCCAACCTCGGGCAAACAATAATATAACTTCTTTGTTGGTTGGTGAGCTTCACCCAAAACAAGGGCAACACTTCTCAAAGTCATCCAGGTAACAGGGACACCAAAGTTCATGATTTCACTTTCGTTTTTAGTGGGTATTGCCGCAATCAAGGACAAAGTAGCAAAGGCACCGCCGGACTCGCTTCATTTTGCCTAGTTGAAAAGGTTGGGTCAAACAGCACAAGGGTGTTGCTGAGTGGCCATGGGCAATAAGCAAGCACCAAAATGGAGCTGTGTTGATCCATTGCGACCGCGGAGCCCAAATGGAGTGATACCTCCCTTCGGCCCACAGCCGTTCCACCAGCCCCTCCAGCTGTGGACTGGCCTCCAATAACGATCCAGCGAAGAGCGAGTCAGTGGCCCCACAATTCACCCACCGCCTGCACAAACAAACATGACTCCACCTTGTAAAGAGGACTACACCACAGCAGCCTTTTAGAGGAATCACAGATTACTTTGAAATCTGGCGAAAAACCATGATGAGCTTCCAAAAACACTGTTATCTCTGAATGATGCATGAACTTTGCGCAAGCCTGCAGCAGCCTGCTCAAGGGAACAAATGGTGATCTTGCGAACAGAGCCACCTTACAGCGGAACCACTTGATGGTCTTGTAAACACACAGCAAGCAACGTTTGAACACTTGGAAGAAAAATTGCATGAGGACCATGCAACAGCCACCTTTTAGAGGAAACAAACTCAGCTTCTAAACTTGAAAAAACAAGACGGCCGATAACTCGTCTTGAGTAAGGAACTCGGGTTGTCAAAAAAGGCTGCGATTGCCTGGCGCGTTCCAGCTATCCGCCGACAACAGGCGGCGTGTTGGACATAAGCTTTTCCCAGAGGCACGGTTTCAGACTGTGGGGGGGGGGGACCACGCGGTGTTTTTGGAACACAGTTGCGTAAAAACATTGGGGTGTTCGATTCCCCCCGGGTCCGCTTTTGCATCCTTAGCACCTCCTGGGCAACATCGCCAGCATCACCTGCATCATCCGCATCAGCGCCTGCCAAGGATGCGGATGATGCAAGTGATGCTGGGGATGTTGCCCAGGAAAATGCATGGAAATGAATGACATGAAATGAAAAATGAAATGAAAGAAAGGGAACAAAAACCGACGTAAAGGGACATGAGTCGAAGTGAAGGAAAGTGAAGGGAAATGAAGAGGAAACATATTTTTAGGGGGGAACTGGGGAGAAGATCCTGGGGGGGGGTGAGGCCCACTGCCGGGGTGCCTATCCTAGAAGGGAACTTGGATGTATTCCGGAGAGAGTCCAATATAATATGCCAATATGGAGGATGGATTGTGCCTGGTGGCTTGTGTTGACTGTGAATCCTATGAAGCGGTCTGCAAGCCTTTTTATCAATGTACCACGAGTCGAATGACTGTACAAATGACTTGAAGGGCCTTGAGCCCAAAAAGCAACACAAAACAGACACAAATTTCTTTTGACCTTTCACACCAAAGTGTATGATTGGCTTCTTGGCCTTACGTGCCGTAGCCATACTTGAAAGTGCCGTAGCCATGTATTGCTACAATAATTCATCCAATTTTGGCGCGGATGATTTGTCTTGTGAGGTACTGATTCTGTGAGATACCTAGATGTATCGAAAAGGTGATGCACAACGCTATGTACATGCGGGACGGATGTGAAACTATTGATCTCTCACTGAATAGTCTTGTTGGTTGTGAGGATCAATCTGGTTGAAGTTCGTAGTGTCGTAGTGTCGATCGTGGGAGTCTTCTCAGTAAGTGCCAAAGGTGGCTGCTTCATCAGGTGATCAGCGGTACCACCTGCGGCTGCTGTCGGATTGACTGCCATAGTCTCCATAATCATTCCAGGTCGAGTCACCATAGTCTTTCCATTGCTTTGGATTGCCCCAGTACTGCTTGTTGTACTCTTTGTAATCTTGCTGAGTCCAAGATTGTTTCTTCTTAGGTGCTCCTTGGATCTCTCAAAGTTGCGTTGCCTGGCGGCAGATCTGCTTCGGATGTAGACCATGAGCAGACTGTGCGAGTCGGAATCTTGTGAGCCATTCATGAACATATCGTTGTTCACGTGCTTGAAGCGTTCCGCGGATGAGACCTGATAGTCGAAAATGGCAGACGTCGGATCGTTCCGCATGGCTTCCAGTTGTTCATCCTTCATGGCGTTCATCTCCTCCTTCCGGAAAACCTGCTGGATATTCGTTTTGCCCCATCCAAACACGAAAGTCATCATCACATCTGGGAATGTTCGGTCATACCCTGATCCAGTCTTCATGTATAGGTGATGACGGACGATGGACTTTAGGGTGCATGAAGTCTCCATTGCATACTCCATTCTGTCCACGAGTGGCAGATTCTCCGTTTCATTCCACAATCTCTGATATGCCTTCATGAGGATATTCATGAGACCGTTGGCCGGATTGAAGACGTGCTGGAGTCTGCTGTAGGTATTCGCGGATTTGTTGGCGTCTCCGGTGATCGCATCGCATTGGTACAATGTCACGAGTGGCATGATTTCGTTCTGAAGATCTTCCCGTGCGACTGATTGATGGATGAATGTGGAAAACTCCAATGGTAGCAAACGGCAGGTCTGCCCTCGTTACGTGGCGGCTGTCAAACTCGAGGAGTGATTTGTTGGATGATTTTGGGAGCATACCACGATACTCATCACTCTGCTCGATGTGGAGAACGACAATCTCTTTGTTACGTCCGTGACCTTGGACAGTGGTGCGTGGTGGCAATCTCGGTCCGATGTACTTCTTGGAGTCGGTGAACATGGATGGTCCCGTAGTTGCCAAACAGTCCGAGGTCGGAATGTCGTCTTCAGGATCAGTAAAACTTTCCTCGGTTCCGAAGAAACATCTGAACATCCCGAATGTGGTTCCCCAATTCTGACTCTTTGTGGAAATGTGTCTTGCCAATAGTTCCACTCTTGCGGAAGGTCAGCCGCGGACAAAGCATGCAATTGGTCTGGATGACCATTGCTTGATAACGATGCCCTTGTACCCGAATCGGATGAACATCTTGATGAGTTCTCTGGATTTATGATCTTGAGGACTGAGGAATGCGTCTGCTTCATTGAGGCATAAGATGTGTGCGCTGTTCTGCATCATCATCTTCACGATTGGTCGATCCTTCAACGCCATGTTGTACACCTCCCTGCCGTCCAGCTTTGGATTCCTCGTGAGGTTTCCATGGTCATAGTAAGCATGTTGATCGTCAGCGATGAGATGAACTCATGCGTCTTGAGATGGTCCACAGGGGAACGGTCGGTCGGCTGCATCAGCGATCCCAGGATGTCGGCAAATGCTCGAATGACTTCTGGGTTGTCATGTGATCTAAGCTTCTTCAATCCAAGTGGAAGCTTAATCGGGTATCCTGATACTGGCTGTGCCTTCCGGTACTCGTCCATGGTGGGACATTCTCCTCGATGGCGGAAGTAGAACTCTTCTTCTTCGAGGTTGAGGCTCTCTCGCATTCTGTCAATTTAGGATGAGCTGTCCTTGGATCCTTGTTGTACTTCTCCATGAAACGGATGAAGTTCTTTTTGGTTTCCACGAGCTCTTCCTCGGCGTCCTTCTTGCTCATTTCTATTTTGAGGTAGATTTCCTTGAGTTCCTGGATGAACTCGTCTAGGTTCTCAGGATTTGGATACTCCATGGTGACCGTTGGCTTGACGGATCTCCCCCCGGAGGGTTCCATGTTCTCCTCTTCAACCTCGTCCTGATCGGTGGAGCGCCGTCGCTTCTTGGTCTCTGTGGATGTATCTTTTTCGGTTTTTCCTTGTTTCGGTGGTCATTTTTCACATGTTTGAAGAAGGCATCGGCGAACTCTTAGATCTTGCTGTTGTACATCTCAATGTCTTCACGACCGAGATTTTTCTTCATGATCCAACTGTTACTCATGACGATGGTTCCCTCGGGATCAAATGCTGTAACAATGTTCCTCGCCTCGATGGTTTGCTCTGTCAATGCTGTTCGCTCTTCGGAGAGTCGGATGTCGTAGTCCTGGTCTTTGAGAAATGCCAGGATCAACAATGCATCTCTTCCCGTTGGCACATGTGTCAATGCTGCTTCTGACGCCTCGTCATCAAGGACAACGTCGTCGATGCATGCCATGTGGATGTGCACTCTCCCCGAAGGGTTTGACTGGGATCTCCCAGATTTCAGCCCGCTCCATGATGTTGATCAGATTCTCTCCATATGTAGCATGGAACATTGGGCTTTTTCGCGAACGGCTTGATCTTTCTCTCTTCTTCAATGGATTGAGGTGCCGGCCTTCGCATTCTGGACTTTGCCTGAGCTGTGCCTTCGTCTTCATGGGGCACGTCGGATCTTGACGGATGCGGACTTGGAGGAATGGATTCCGTTGGAAGATCATAGTCCGGTTCTTCTTGGCGAGGCTCACTCTTCTGCTCGGAGTACAGGGGTCGTCCAAAAGATTGGAGATCGACTTGTCGTGTATGACCGCTGTTGCATCTCACGTAGAACTCCATGTCGGGATCATTGACGAATTCCTTGCCATTAGGCCGGAGTGCATCGTGTGCGGATCTAGAGGTGAGGTTGTCGATCCATCGATTTCTTGGAACAATGTCTCCCCTTGCCTTGCGCTCATGGTATGACCCGTCACGAACGCAATCTCGAAACGTGCCTTCCCATGTTGAGAATCGGCATGTCTTCGAGGTGATCGAGCATACACGATTGCAAAGGTCGGAATGGTTGTAAACCGAAAGTGGCTGCGGATGCAGACACATATTTCTTGAGGTTCAAAATGGGTCAAGTGCAAAAACACGCATCACGGATTTGAGGAATTGAAAATGTGCAAAATGAAAAACTCATGCATCAGAATTCGTGGACATGCGGATCATGCCCAGGTTCCCCATATAAGCAAACATGGATTCTGCTATACCGACTCCTGCAAAGGCAACGATCTCGGGTCCGTGCTTCGTATTGCGCGCTAGCCACTCAACCAAAAATGCATTGTTCTGCAACATAGCACGGAAGGGTGGATGTGCATCAACATTCAAGAGATTGCCGGTGAGGACGGCCTTGATGAGCTCGTCTGCTTTAGCTGAATGCTTGGTCAGCGAATCTGCCAGGCAATCTTCACTCCGTACATGTGCAAGGTCATGCATCTGTCCACTGTTGCTTTCCTTTCTCAACATTTGGATCAAATGCATTGTCTCTTTCTGTTCCGGTTGCTGTGTTGTGGATGCTGTGGTGACAAGATTATTCGCATCAGTGCAGATGTGTACATTTGCGATTTCGCCTGTTATGTCTGACCAGAGCCCGCGAAGAAATAATGCTGAACCATGACAACGCATCAGTCCGTGCAATTCTG